ACACACTTAATGACGCGCTCAACGAGAGTGAATGCCAGTTTACTCCTTTTTCGTTCACAAAGTAATTTGTGTCGATATGAGATGGATGGAGTGAGGTTCAAGTCATGATCCGGGCTTTACATATATGTATATGAAATATGTGTATAGGAAAATTTTGCTCTTAATGTGTCCTCAAATTGACGGAGTATGCCTGCATCTTGGCGATAACATGTCATAGTCTCACGTAGGAACCAACCTGATTTAGTTGAACAGACAACACAAATCAAACATACCTCAGACTGAAGAGGAAGCTTTGAAAAAGTAGTTCCAATGATTATTATAAGAGCTCTCAAACAACAGACGTAAAAGTCTACAGTTAATCGTCATGCCTCTCTTCCTGGAATCATTATGCCTATTAGCAAAAAATTTATGCAATCGATTTTAACAGGCTTCTCTTGACGCCAATTTGTCACCAGCTAAATCATTCATCATAGACTTGAACATAGTGTAATCACTTGGTGTGATGTTCGGCCTATAAGGAGAATGCATAGAGATTCTTGTGCATTCAAGCTGTCGGAGCTTCGACCTGTTGACATAATTCCCATACTATTGGCCAAAACTGGGCAATCCTGGACGATTGCTTGTGTGAATTATCTGGCTGAGAAAATCTTTCAGATCGAATACACTTAGGCCTGATTTAGACCCATTGTGATACCACAAAACTTCATAATGAAGGTGGAAAAAATTTAATGAAAATTTTGGCTTATGGAATATCTAAGCCGGTTCGTTGGTATATTTTCTTAGATTTATTAAGCCTTGAAATATAGATGAATTTTCCTTAAAGACGAATACACACATATAATAAGCTCTCGAGATTTGCTTGGTTATATTGACATTATCGGCATCACCAACCCTGCGGTTAGTTTTGCTGGATAATGGGTCTGATAGGGGACGAGGTCAAGAATAAGGCTGCACTTTACTGCTTGGACGATTGTTTGACCTTCGGGGAGAAATTTATGGCGGATTATTACTTGCCAGTACCTGGATTAGACACCGTTTTTGACGACTCACTGACGAACTGACGAACGCAACACTGACGAACGCAACACTGACGAACGCAACCAGTCATTCCCTACAGAAATTAGACGATTTTGTTACGATTCAGCAGAGTTTCGCATCTAGAAATTCTGATAACGAAGTTTTTTTCTGTTAACTCAGGAGGCACCTAAATATGGAGCTCCTTCGGTTAGTTGTCATTTAAGGTTTTCATTTTTGGACAAAGGTGACTTATTCGAACTTAACTCTTCAAGATTTTAAGCATCTTTAATATTGAGTATGCCAATCCGTTGAATTTCTCGTGCTCCAGTTTTCTAAGCATTCCATTCCATTGCAGCTTTGGAATGTCGTACTTTGTTTACCTTTTGCGGCTGCATTTTTGCTCATTTGTTAACCTTTTTCCTAACATCCACTTCACCACCCCGCCCCCATTGCGGCTTCACGTTATCGGCACGCCTGTCAATGACACTTTCCGGTTTCGCACTTCAAACCAAACTGGCTGGCAGTACTCATTCATACAACGCTCTGCGCATTATTGAAAATAAAATAATAATAGAAAATACCAGTCAGGATGGCAAGGATCATGCAGAGTACACAAATAAGTGGAAAGAAGAACGAAATACCAAACAAAAATTGACAATAACGGCAGCAAGAAAATTACTTGAATGACACTTGAAATGAAAATTATCCCTGCAACAAGGACACGTACAAGTGAAAATCACCACACAGACCGAGCAGAGCAAATGTGCTAACATTCCTGATGTCGCTCGCAAGACAGCCAAAAGTAATGCAAACAAAAACATTAAACACAAACAAACAAGCTAGCGGAAAAAAAACGAGAGCAAAACACCAAAATAACAAAGAATTTTCTTATGCACTCACGTGTAGCATCAACTCGCGAGCCCGTTCAAGAGCTGTGTGCAAACACACACTCACCACACAATGCCGCTGAGTGGCACTTCAGCGGGCCGCCCAGTCTCTCTGTGACGTTCATCAAGCACTCGCTTTCCGTTGGGGTGGCGCAGATCTCACACACACTTCGTGACGACTGTTGTACTCAGTGGCAGAGCACTGTGTGTGTGTGTGTGTGGAAAAGCACATCCTTGTGTTTGCTTTGACTGAATACAAATTGTGTTATTCGTCTGTTGACACTAAATCGCATGTTAAGTGTAATTTTTACCTCAATCAAAGCACTCACTTTTGGTATTTCGAGTGGAATCCTTTACACCGTTATTATTATTTCACCAGACATGCACATATTTCGATGCTATTTATACATATATATAAATAAATATGTATGTATGGATTATCTGGCTGAGAAAATCTAATGAGGTCGAAAAAATTTAATGAAAATTTTGTCTTATGGCATATTAAAGTCGGTTGACTGGTATATTTTCTAGGATTGTTTAATCCTTGAAATATTGATGGTTTCTTCTTAAAGCCGAAGACACACATCTAAAGTATTCCGGAAATTTCTTTAGTGGTATAGACATTATCGACATCAACAACGGTGCGGTTAGTTTTGCATTCTCCAGGCTGGATAATGGATCAGATAACGAACGAGGTTAAGAATAAGTCAGTACATAATCGTGTCGGCTCCCACTTTACTGCTGACAATTATTTTCGTTTACCTAGGCTACTTCAGTCTTTCCAACTGGTTAGACAATTGAAAAGTTAAGTCGACGAAGAAAAGCCAAAACTCATCATTACCGTCCCACCTCATTGGAAACCGGAGAATATGGAGCAGTAAGCTTATCAATAACCTCTGGCGGAAGCACTCCTTGGAAATATTAGACAGTGAAAATTTTGGAATTATTTGTTACCTCTATTTGGTGTCCAACGGCTATGAGAAGAATATACGTAAGCGTTGTCCACTACAAACCGACTCGAAATTGACTAACCTTAGAACATTCAGAAAGATCCCTTCTGGGCTGAGTTCTTAAATTGTTGTTCTAAAGATACCTTCTTCTTCCAGTCCACATCGACAGAGTAACTCTCTCATGCACGAAATTTCGGTTCCTTGATATTGCCACTTCCGTCCTGACATTGCCTATCGCTTCTCCTGTCCGGCATGGATGTCAACCTTAAGATTTTCAAAGCTCTTTGCAATTAAGAGGTGTTTGACCTCTTGCAAGTGGATATTCTCAAATCGCAGTCCTCAATAAATTTTCCGTGGTCATCATCAAGACTGAAAGTTTTCATTCAAATTTTTGGTGGAGCTGATTTTCACGTTGCCGCGTGAGGTGGCTCTAGCCACGACGTCAGTCGCAGTGGTACCTCTGAGGAACATAAAGTGCGATATCGGTTTGGCTTCTATAAAGTATTATCTCTTTTAGACCTGATCAAAAGTCTTATCCGCATTGAATACACACCTTGCACGTTTTCTTGGTGTGGTAGATGAACTCATTCAGGTTTTTTTTCAATACTCTGGTTCACAGCAGCAATAGTGTCTACGGTGCATATAACCCACTAGAGTAAGTCTGGTGCGAAACCGATCCGTGCGCAATTTGCACAATTTGTAAAAGTTTTTCCGGTCTAAGTCAGCTCTCCATGAAAAAGCAAACCAAGATGAATATAGTAAATCAAGTAACAGCTGTTAAAGCGGCCGCGGTAGCCGGTCGTCTGGGAGGCTGAATTTTCCGACTTTTATACCAAATATACCTTCTTTGCTCACCCTGGCGTTGAGGTAGCCAAACACAATTTCGACTAGGCGAGGACAGCGCTCGTAAGAGCGTTCGTGGCGCTCGTAAAAGGCTTCGCTGGTCACATCATCTTTTTCTTCCGTCGAGGCGCGGGCACAAATCAGCGTGGGGATAGAAAATCTCGTTTTGATGCGGATTGTTGCGAGACGTTCATCCAACGTAGTGAATGGCAGTAGTTGCGCTCCTTTATACAGCCGCTGTAGCAAATTACACAAGCTCCAACCTTCTTCCATCTTTACACCGTCCACCGCATCTTTTAGACGGCGGGGATGTCAGCCTTTAATTTAAAAGAACATCAACCAGCTGGGCAGCGGCACATTCCCAATTAAGGGCCGGACGTTACAGGTTCATGACCTCAAATCGTAATCCCTAAAACATTTGCGGGTCTCGTCATCAAAAGGGCTTATTTTGATTTTACATTGGATTTTTCGTTTTTCATGTTGTGGGTCCTTAATTCGTCCCCAAACGGATGTTTGTTGGCTACCCAGGGGATACTTGGTCTAAGACCATATGCAATAGAATCGTTTCTGGCCACTCCCAGGTGAAAGGCAGTAAAAAACTTTCCTCACTTTCGTGAACTTCTGCACATAGCCCCATCCCCAAAAAAAAAATCAAGAAGCAAACCACAAATTGGAGGAGGAACTCGGTTGAAAAGCGCTTCAGGGGTTACAATTTTAAATACAGAAAAATTTATTTTGACCCACTATACCCTTCATGCAAAAATTTGTTCAGCAAATATTCTATTTAAATTTATAGCTTAGCTGACTGACATTAAAGTATGGCAGAGAAATATTGCCGTCAAATTGCAATAGCAACAATAAGTGCGATCATTACAAGAAAAAAGCTCGCAATAAAATATTCTCTTTAAAAGCTCGCTCTTTGATATTGTTTTATCTCATCCTATCGTATATACACAAAAACAAAGATTGTTTACAAACAAATGAGATGATAAAAACAAAAAACCGATAAAAATATCAACACCAAAAACATGGACAATTAATTTTGTATATATATATCTATGTATGTGTGTTTGTATAAATGTAAAGCAAAAGCTTGCAGAACAACTTTTGACGTCACTTATCTATTCGAAATATTAGCGACATACATACACATATGCCTACGAACACTCTTCAACTCGCATTAACAAATAAAAACAAACTCACAATTTATTAAATATTCCAAAAAAAAAGAAAGAAAAAATTTGTTCAAGTTGAACGTGAGCGGCGGCCAACAACTGCAACTATTTTATTCATTGCTTCGAAGTAAGCTGAGCGGACACGTTCACATTTGTGATTGTTTTTCGGTCGATTTACTTAGTATATTCTTACTTAATCCACATGAAAATTTCAAACTTTCGCACTTTTGCTTCAAACAAATTTTAAACAAAGAAAAAGGCAAATAATCAACGTTGGAAATAATGTTATCGAGACATTTTAGGGAGATTGATCACCAAAGTAGGCGGTATTTGTGTGCTACAACAGCACGTACATATGTATCGCAAGTGCAGTCGAAGGTGTGTATATACGTATGTATAGGTGCACAAGTGTCTGTGGTTAAATGATCAGTAAATATTCTCGCTTTATTATTTTCTTACAATTTTCTTCACTCACTGCCAATTGTTTCTATGTAAGACTGATGGCAGCATGGAAAATGCACGACCTTACGCTGAAGTACCCGGACCAAGTAAATTGGAACTCATACGCTTATTTATGCCTGGAGGTATTGAATTCTTTTTATTGTAGAATTTAGTTACTATTAATACATGTGCGTTTCCTTTGTTTATTTATAACAATTGAATATTTTTGTTATTTGCAATGCATTTAGACTAAATTAATACTTCATTTAATGGCATTTGATAGAGAAAATGTGTGATACCATTCAAAGTCTTTATTTTCCTTATTTTCATTTCAGTTTACCCCAATTTGTTTATTTTAATTTGTTTCATTTATTTTATTTTATTTTATTTTATTTTATTTTATTTTATGTTTTATGTTATTTTCTTTCATTTTATATTATTTTAACTTCTTTTATTTTATTTTATTTTTTAACTTTGTTTTAGTTAATATTATTTTATTTATTTTATTTTATTTTATGCTATTTTATTTTATGTAATTTTCATTTGTTTTATTTTCTTTAATTTATTTTAATTTGTTTATTATTTTAATATTTTTAATCTATTTTATTTTACTTTCATTTATTTTAATATATCTTATATAATTTTCTTTCATTTTATTTTATTTTATTTTATTTTATTTTATTTTATTTTATTTTATTTTATTTTATTTTGTTTTATATTATTTTATTTTATTTTCTTAATTTTATTTTATATAACTTTAGTTAATTTCTTTAGTTTTTTTTTGTTTTGTCTAATTTAATATAGTTTTTTATTTAATTTAATTTATATTTATTAAATTTTTCTACTTCAAGGTCTATTTGCTAAAAAGGGCTTTTTTCGTGCCATAGCAGAGATGGAAAATAGATATGGACCACTTTTTCGCTTTCCTGGCATATTCGATAAGCCAGAAATCGTAATTGATTTGAATCCATCAGATTACTCGATTATTTTCCGCAACGAAGGACCATGGCCGGATCGACGAACTTTCGATACATTTGTCTACCATCGCGAGAAACACCGGCCGGAGTTTTTTCAAGGTGTCGACGGCATTATTTCCACGTAAATATTATAATTTTAAATTTTGTAACTTCTCACTTCAGTATTTTTTATTCCATTCACACACCAGTTCGGGCGAAAAATGGGCTAAAATGCGCACAGCTGTGAACCCAATACTGATGCAACCGAAAAATGCTAAATTATATTTAAATACACTCTCGGAAATTAACAATGAATTTTTGGAAAGGTATCTTTTTAAATTCAATTCCACCAAAACTTTTTGTTCACGTTTTATCGCTTGCATTATTCCGCCAGAATTCGCGATATACGAGATCCCAAAACACTTGAAGTGCCAGGAGATTTCAACGATGATATTAATCGGCTTGCTTTTGAAGGTATTGCTGGCATCGCTTTGAATACCCGTCTCGGTTTGATACGAAACAATAGAAACAGTGACGAGAGCAAAACTATAATGAAGGCTGTACGCAGCTTCTTCATACTCTCCGAAGAGTTAGAGATCAAACCTTCGATATGGAAATATGTGGGAACGCCGAAATTCTATGAAATGATGGAAACCCTCGATACGCTCACAGACATTTGCAATAAGTACATAAACGAGGCCTTGGTGCGTATCGAACACGACAGCGAAGGCAATCTCACCTCAGAGGAGGGAAAGGAGAAGAGTGTGCTGGAGAAGTTGGTGCGTGTCGATAAGAAATTCGCTGTGGTAATGGCGCTCGATATGATGATGGCCGGAATTGACACGGTGAGTTGAGTAAAAATTTCTATTAAAAATATATAAAAAATTATCCAATTCAATTTACTTCCAGACAAGCTCCACTTTAGCCGGCCTACTTCTATGCATTGCAAAGAACCCCGAAAAACAACAGAAACTGTTTGAAGAAATAAAACGCATCTTACCAAAAAAAGAATCACAACTCACTATCGAAAATATGCAAAACTTGCCGTATATGCGTGCCTGCATCAAGGAAGGCATCCGTTATTATCCAATTTTACCAGGCACCGTACGGCGTCTACCCACTGACGTAGTCCTTAGCGGCTACCGGATACCCGCCGGCACAGACATATCCATCAGCGCCAATGTGGTGATGAATGACAAACGGTATGTACCACAACCGGATAAGTATATACCGGAACGTTGGCTGCGTAATGATCAATCCGCGCAAGCTTTGGAGGGACATACTAGCAATCCATTTATGTATGTACCCTTTGGCTTTGGGCCACGCAGTTGTGTCGGCAAGCGTATCGTCAATTTGGAACTGGAAATCACATTGGCGCGTTTGGTGCGAAATTTCCACATTGAATTCAATTATCCGGCAGAAAATGCCTTTGCAATGAAATTTATGAGTGTGCCGCAGATACCACTCAGATTTAAATTCACTGAGAGGAATGAATAACTGAGTGTAGGGAGATGGAGAGTGATATATTTATATATACATGTATATGTGTATATAGTTATTTGCTTAATTGCTTCAAATTATTTAAATGTTATTATCAATTAGCTTTCAAAAAAACATTCATTAGAATTAACACATGAATGTAAGCAAGCTCATAATACATACATACATATTTCTCTGAAAAACGAGCTGTCTCATTATATATATATTGCATATATTTAAACAACAGACTAAAGCTCATCTTCAATTTATGATTAATTAAAAGTAAAAAACCCGTCATGGGAAAGACTATTTTGTACAAGAAAACAATAAAGTAGCGTAAAGCGTTTTACACAAAAAAAGAGCTTTTGCATTATTTTTTGGAATATTAGACGTTTTAGAAAATTAATTGAATAATTCAATACAATTATATTTCATTATATTTTTTTTTTTTTTGCTTTTAAGATTTTATATAAATTTTTATTCAATCAATTCAAATATTTTATATTAGCTTATTTTACATTTCACTTTTTTTTACTACTATAAATTTTAGTAAAATTTTTATAATTTTTAATTTTAATAATTTATTTTTATTATTATTAATTTTAAAATATTATTTTACTAAAAATAATATAAAATTCATTTTATTTCACAGTATCAACTTATATTAATGGTTTAGTGACCTTTCTTTTACTTTAAATTGAAAATCTTTGCCAGCTTAAGGTCGGAATAAATAAAAATCATGTAAGTGCTGTTTTCTCCCGATATTTTTCGATTACACAATTCGGGAACAATCAATAATACGTCATAGCCGTGTGACGTTGGGTTTTGTACTGAAGTTCACTTACAGTGTTTTTATTTATTCTGACATCACTTTTCTGGCCGGTAAAGTTTTTATAAGTATTAGTTTAATTTAATTTTCTTTTTATTTTACTTTATTTTGCTCTACTTTTTTAATGCAAATTATTTTGTTTCAATTTATGTAATTTATTTTAAATTAAATTGTTTTATTATATTTTGTTTCATTTTATTCATGCTTCAATATTTTAATTTTATTATTTTTATATTTTATTTTATAATAACTTTTGATATAATCTTTCGTTAATACTTAACTTTATTTTATTCAATATTTTTTGTCTTACTTTTTGTTTATTTTTTCTATTGTTAATTTTTTTTGGTTTTATTTTATAAAGCTTAAAATTATTGAATTATTTTATTTCTTTAATTATTTTATTCAATTTTTCCTTACATTTAAGAAATATTTTTATTCCATTTTTGTTTGTTGCTTTATGGTAGTTTATTTAATTTTATTTTATTTGTTTTTTTCTATTTCGAGAATTGAATTCAATTAAATTAAATCAAATTTTATTTTACCTAAATTCATTATCTTATATTTCTTTTTTTAAGTTTATACTACGTAATTTAAGTTATTTTGTGTTAATTTACTTCATTAAATTCATTTTATTTTATTTGCTATTTTTTGTAATATTTTATTTAAATTTTTATTATTTTATTTTATTTACTTCACTCGTTCAAATTTTTACCAAAATTTTCTTTTATTTTACTCATTCTATTTTATTCTATGTTATTTATCTTATCATGTTTTATTTTACTTTATTTTACCTTATTTTGTTTCACTTCATTTCAAACAAATTATTTTGTTTCAATTCATGCAAATTATTGTATTTTATTTCATTTAATTTTTTTTTATATTTAATTTTTTATTTGATTTATTTTTCAAAATTTTAATTGTATTTTTTTATTATATTTTACATTATAGTAACTTTTTATATAATCTTTTTTTAATATTTAACTTTATTTTATTCAAACTTTTTTGTCCTAAATTTTAAATGTTTTATTTGTACTGTTTTTTTTTTTCATTTGTTTTGTCTTATTCTTTAATATTTGATTTATTTTTCCTCAAGTGCAAAAAACTTTGTTTATTCTATTTTTTATTTGTTATTTTATGATAGCTTATTTAATTTTGTTTTATTTGATTTATTCTTATTAATCAATTGAATTCAATTAAAGTGAATCAAATTTGATTCCAGCTAATTTCAAGATCTTATTTTCCTTTGTTTCATTTTATACTACGTTGTTTAAAAAATATCTTTTAATTTTATGGGTAATTTTTTTTTTTATTGTAATTCATTTTATTTTATTTTATTTACTTTATTTTATTAAAAACATTTTTATTAATTTTGTTTTTTATTTTACTCATTTTATTTTATTCTAATATTATCATGTTTTATTTTACTTTATTTTACGTTATTTAATATTGTGTAATTTAATTTTAATTTTTTTTAGTCTAATAGAATTTGTTCCATTTATGTTATTTTTTATCTTAATTTAGTTTATTTCATTAAATTTATGTCTTTTATTTTTAGTTAATTTCATATAATTTTATTTTCTCTTTATGCGCATTTAGTTTATCTTATTTTGCTTTATTCTTTTATTTTATTCCATTTTTCACATAATACCAAAATTGTTTTTTACCTGAAAATCAGGGCAAAAACATTGCTGTTATTCATAGCAACACTACTTTAAGTTGGCACTTCGTTTATTGTATTTGTTGTTATTTTCCGTGTACGCACGTTTTTAACGCCGCAATTAACCAATAAATCTTTACTAATATCATGGCAAATAAAGAAAGAAAATTTCCAAAAGTTAAATTTGTAATTCAGTGTGCTTGTAACTTCCCAAAAACAAACTGTCGAAATGATCTTCAAACAGTAAAAGTGTGTTTTAGATGACAAATGGACTAAGTACTGGAGACAACTCTAAGAAGACTGCACGTGAATCAGCAACTGAGAAGCGTAATATGCAGCCCAAAAGTGAAAAGAAGAAAGGGAAAATAGCGTTAGAACAAGGGTTTGTGAATTCTTTCTTAGAAAATGGTAAGTGAAACAAACTGCAGAAAGGAAATTTCTAACAAAAAAATAGTCTAGCTAGATGAAAAGAAATGCGAGCTGATTTTTTTTAGATCTTTGACATATATGTACATATATTTTTAGCCATTTCGACCTTCCAAGATTTCTAAGACAATATGAATCTTTCAAATTTTTATTTAATTATTATTATTTCATTTTTTTTTTTTTTTTGTTAAGAAACTGGCAAACTGAGCAGACGCTGTTCAGGCTAGAGTTTCCTACATTCGCTAGAGTTTATAAAGATAATAAATTTAACAATAATTTGTAGTTTGCAGACATAAAATTTACAACCCCTAAATAATAAACAAATTAGTTTCTTCACTTTGTTACAACAAAAACAAATTATTATAAATCTATTTTTTATACTCGTACTTAAAAAAAATTCTTTTCACAAAATTGAAATCAGCTCAGCCGTTTGGTCAGGCACCGCCGTGTCAAAAAAAACATTTCATGTTTACATCCATACGGACATACATACATACATACATATATACAAATAGAAAAGCTCTGCGCTAAGCTTTCACATAACACAACAACTGCACGCAGTGCTATTAATAAGCTAAATTGTTATGTTGATTAGAAAACTTAGTATGTATGTAAATGTGAGCTATTTCATAATTCAGTTAGACATTAAACTTTACAGCGAACGGTGGTATTTATATAAACGATCGGACCTTCAAACTACTTTTTAATTTGATTATACTGAAGTTTAACCAAAATGTTGGCGCGTTATCTAAAGCACAGTAGTAGAATTATCGAGCGATCGTTGGGCGGACCGTCGCTGAGAGGCTATGCAGTGGCACCACAGGCACAAGAACAGGTTATTCTAATGTTATATTTCTAAATACGCATGTCCGCAAACAGTTGTTATGAAATTATTGATATATGCTTAATCATCTACCGTTGATTTGCTTGAAATTATTAGATAAATGACTCATCCTCTTCAGCTGAAGCACTGGAAAATGCACGTCCCTATTCCGAGCTCTCTGGTCCGAGTGCGTACGAGGTAATACGTGGATTTTTGCCGGGCGGTAGGTGAATGTATTTTCATTAAAGCGCATAAATAACTAAATAATTAATTAATTTTCGCTACTTCTTAGGCGAGTTCCATAATAAACTTTTTACTGAAGGCATTATAGAATTGTCCCTCAGATACGGCGACATTTTTCGTTTTCCTGCCATGTTCGGGAAACCAGAAATGGTTATGAATCTGAATCCAGCTGATTATCCCATAATATTTCGTAACGAAGGCATATGGCCTCAGCGACGCTCCTTCGAAACTTCGAACTATCATCGTGAGGTACATCGTGCGGACTTTTTTCAGGGCGTTACTGGACTTGTAACGACGTAAGAAAGTGTTAAAGAAAATTGACTTTAAGTTATGCAATATATGAGAAAAATCTAAATGAAAAATTTTTTGCTTCGACTTATAGTGCGGGCGAAGACTGGGCAAAATTTCGCACAGCCGTCAATCCGGTTTTAATGCAACCAAAGAATGCGAGACTCTACTTGAATACGATACTGGAAATTAATGATGAATTTCTTGAAAGGTAAAAACGAAAATTATGATTTTCTCTTTGCACTCACTTCCTTCTCACCACACTACAGAATCCGACACATACGCGATCCGCACACACTCGAAATGCCCGATGACTTTCACGATGATTTGAATCGTCTCACATTGGAAGGCGTTGTTGGCATAGCGCTCAATAAGCGACTCGGCATGTTACATAAAAATCGTGATTCACCCGAATGCAAATTGCTATTACAATCCATACGCAATTTCTTTGACTATTCTGAAGACTTGGAGATAAATCCCTCCATTTGGAAAATAGTCAAAACCCCGACTTTCTATAAACTCATGAAATCGCTGGATACACTAACGGAAATTTGCAATAAATACATTGATGAAGCATTGAAAAAACTCGAACAAGATAAAGATGGTAAACTCACCACTGAGGTGGGTAAGGAAAAAAGTGTTTTGGAGAAACTGCTGCGCATTGATCGCAAAATCGCCGTTGTTATGGCGCTTGATATGATGGCAGCCGGCGTTGATACCGTAAGTTTATAAGCAATTTTTAATTTCATGAAATGTTAAAATACCTAAATTGAATTCACAGACCAGCTCCGCATTAACAGGCATACTCTTCTGTATTGCCAAAAACCCCGACAAGCAACAGAAACTTTTCGATGAACTCCAACGTATTCTACCACATAAGGATTCCAAATTGACCATAGAAAATATGCAAAATCTGCCTTATTTACGCGCCTGCATTAAGGAAGGCTTGCGCTATCATCCCGTCATACCCGGCACAATGCGTCGCCTACCCAATGACGTTGTCTTGAGTGGTTATCGTATACCAGCGGGTGTCGACATCTCCATTAGCTCTAATTTGTTATTGCGTAATGAGAAATTTGTTGTTGAGCCAAACAAATATATACCCGAACGTTGGGTACGCAATGATCCGGAGGGTCGGAAATATCACATTGAGAATCCATTCCTTTTTCTGCCCTTCGGTTTCGGTCCACGCAGTTGTGTGGGTAAACGTATTGTGGATCTGGAATTGGAGGTCACCCTAGCGCGTTTAGTGCGTAATTTTGTGATTGAATTTAATTATTCCACGGAGAGGGCTTTCATACCGAAAATTGTATTCATACCGGGAATACCATTGAAATTCAAATTTCAAGAACGAGAGATGTAAAAACATTTCTTAAGTTATAAGGTATTAAGTAAAATAGTATTTATGTAAATATATATGTGTTCCTTATGTGAATATGTAAAGTTTAGCAAAAAAAAAAAAAATGCTACTTAAAGTGATACTTAAGTGATAAGATTACTCAATGCATGAGGTGGTCGCATGAGACCTTTGACTGTGGCGTAGATATCGCTGTAACGCTATAATTTTATAAGAGGGTTTGGAAAATTTTATTACAACTTTATCAAAAATTATTAAAATTTTATGTACTTAATTTACGAACATTTATTTCATTTGACTTTTACTAAATTTAAAGAGCGAGATTCATGGTATTTTTTACTTTTATATTTGGCGCTTTGTAAGCAGTAATATAAAACAAAGAATTGTCCTTTAATGAAAACAAAAATTGCCTCTAGTTGTGTCACGTACTTAATCAATTCTTCACTTGGCCGGATCAATTCTCCCTCACTCAAGTGAGTAGCTCTAAAAAGATGGATTATGGTGAGTTCAGGTCCACTGAATTTCATCACGCAGTCTATCGTATATACATACATCGGCTATATTTTCTAGACCATCAAATTTTAAATTGTGCTTCTGATTTCAGTCAGCTTTGCTTACTGCTAGAAAATTTTGCGGATTAACGAGAGTTCGCTAATTTGGTGACTTTCAATTTGTTTTCATTAAATGTAAAATTGCAATTACTTTATTAGTCTTCCTTTCAAATTTTAGAACGATTGACTTAAATGAAGACGAGAAAACGCAAAATAGCTGAAGATAGGTCAGACGCAATTCCACCACCAACGCAAACAGAAATTCGCTATGGGATTCTCTTCGGGTCTCGACGTAATTTACAGTAAATTCAAATATTCAGTGAATGCCAAATTGCATATGGAAGGATATACCATCTTTAAAGACTATTTCTAAGTGGTTCCGAAGATTCCAGAGCGGACATTTTTCCGTAGATGACGAACCCCGTGAACATCGACCAAAATATTCCACTGATGACGTAACTGTAGCTCTGGTAAAGTTCAAAATTGACGAAGACCCACGATTGACACAATAAATGATTGCTAATGAATTGAACAGCTATGACGTATCGCGAATATTAAGTTATCATTTGAGATGCGCGAAGATATCTGTTCGATGGTTATTTTAAATGAAGCCCCAAAGCTCGAATGACTGCTCATTTTTTTCTTAAATAAAGTCGTTACTGGTCACGAAAAGATTGGTTCTATAAGTAAGATCCAGAAACCAATCAACAGTCCATAGTATGGAGCCCAACTGGATCAAACCCACCAGTAAATTGTAAGCAACGAAAATCAGCAGCAAAAGTAATGATATCTGTTTACTTTACCCGATCTAGAACCTTAGCTGCTATTCTACTGGGTCAGACGGTAACTGCAAAATGGTACACCGAAGAGTGCCTACTAAAAGTTTTCAAAAATTTATTGGAAACCAAGAAGAAAAAGGAAAAAGGCGCCACTTTTTACATCATGACAACGCGTCATCATCCCACATTGCTGAAATAACGAGTAATTTTATTGCGATCTCTGGGATCGAAGAAATACGTCCAGTACCATGTTTCTCGAATATAGCACCTTGTGATTTCTGGTTATTTCCAAAAATTAAAATAAAATTAAAAGAAGGGTATTTGCTAGCAACGAGGAGATAATTAATGAGGTTAATGCTGAACCTGCAAGAATTTGAAAACTTTTTTCAGAAGTGGATCTTTCGACTGAAGAAATGCATTGAAATCAAAAGCGATTATGTAGAGAAGATAAAAAAACAAAGATTATGAATAATTCAAGAAGAAGAGAACAGAAGAAATTTTTCACATTTTTTCTGGGAAACTTTCTGCACTTTTGTTAATACCCTCGGTCAAGTAAAAAATTCATTCTGTTTTTTATTGATTTTTTTTTTTCAAACTATGATAACTTTGTGTGCATTTTTTCGATTTAGGTCAAACGAGATGCTAACTTCATTATACCCCTCACGTAGAAGGCTGCGTTCCTGTTGGCAAAAAACTCGGAAAGCCAATTTTCACAGGCCTCTCTTGAGACCAACTTCTCACCATTAAGCGCGTTCGCCATGGACAGGAAAAGATGGTAATCACATGGTGCCAGGTTCGGACTATAAGGTGATTGCATTAGGACCTCCCACCCGATTTCCTGGAGCTTCTGGCGCATCACCAGAGACATGTGCGGCCTGGCGTTGTCTTGATTGAGCCCAATTCGGCCTCTGTTGATCAAAGACGGCCTCTTCTGGATAAGTGCTGCCTTCAAGCGGTCCATTTGTTGGCAGTAGACGGCCGAAACGAGCGTTTGGCCATAGGGGAACAGCTCGTAGAAGATGATTCCTTGCCAATCCCGCCAAACATACAGCAAAACCTTCCTGGCCGTCAATCCGGTCTTGGTCACCGTCTCGGTCGCTTTCCCGAGCTTTGACTACGACCGTTTGCACTCGATGTTGTCGTAGGTGACCTATTTTTCATGGCCAGTTACAATCCACTTCAGAAACGGGTCGATTTTGTTGCGATTCAGCAGTTGGACCGGATTCCCATCATGTTTCTTTGTATTGATTCGTGTGGCACCCAAACATCGAGCTCTTTTTTGAATTGAAGGTTATGCAAATGGTCCGAAATGGGTTTCTGGCTTATCTTTAGTTCCCCAGCAATTAAATAAGTGCTCACGTGACGGTCTGTTCCCACTATTTCCATGATTTTATCACAATTTTCGCCTGAAGGCCTCCCTACGCGTGGTGCATATTTGACATCGAAATTACCGGAACGGAACCTAGCATCCCACTTTTGTGCTACACGTTCGGTTACAGTATCGGGCCCATAATTAATCAATTAGTTTTTTCAACCGCTTTGGCTGCTTTTTCGCCTTTATCGAAGATAAATTGTAAAATATAGAGTATTTTCCTTCTTTGACGAGCGCTCACAACGTACTGAGTCAATCAATCGAAACCATGTCAAAGGCAAACTTTTAGCGCTAATAAGCGCCGTATAGTATGACATGATGAGACACTAGCACTATGGACAATAACGCCACCTCTTAGATAAAAACCGAACGAACTTTTTACTTTGCCAAATAATATATTTGTTTGTAAAAATTCGCATCTTTGAATAAGCTAAATTTTTGGAATTGTGTGGTCTACATTTAGCTACGGATTGCTTCGCATCGGGCCCATAATGGGATCAGAAATCCCATGTGAAATTTTAGAAATTTAGTCTTTAATTCCATTGCAGTATTGTATGCTTCAAAGATATGAGGACTTTTGGTCAAACCATTTGGTCATAAAGGGTATGACTTTTCTATGTAGAGACCGCCTTTTCTCTTGCAGATAAATAGAAAAGCTCTACGGAAAACTTTCGCGATGCACTTATACACTGCGCAATTAATAGTCTAAATTGTGATTTTGATTAGAATACTAAGTACATATGTACTATGCATGTAAATAAGACACGAGCGAGCCCATTTATGAAATATTGTAATATTTAGTTATCGGGCAAGCTTCGTAGTGAACGGTAATATTTTTCTAAACCAGCGCGATTTCAAACGTCTTTCATGTTTTATGCGAACAAAGCATTTTATTAAATTTGATTGATTATTAACTTTTATTTTGAACAAAATGTTACGGCGTTATCTAATGCAATATGAAGCAGTTATCGGGCGTAGGTTGAGTGCCAAGTCGTTGAGGAGCTACGCAGTGGCACCACAGGCACAAGAACAGGTTATTCTAATAATTTAAATATACATATCCGCACTCAGATAATAATGCAGTTTGTTATTTATATTATTTTTTAATGCAAAATATATATGTGTGTGCGTCTATTGAAATGAAAATATCAGATAAATGACACGCCCTATTCAGCTGATGCACTGGAAAATGCACGTCCCTATTCCGAGCTCTCTGGTCCGAGTGCATATGAGGTAATACGTGGATTTTTGCCCGGCGGTAGGTGAATGTGCTTGTATAAATAACTGATTAATTAACTAATTCTCGCCAAATCTTAGGTGAGTTCTATAAGAAGCCGTTTATTGAAGGCATGATGGAATTTTCCCTCAGATATGGCGAACTCTTTCGTTTTCCGGCTATGCTTGGTAAACCAGAAATGCTTATGGATCTTAATCCAGCTGATTATCCCATAATATTTCGCAATGAAGGCATATGGCCGAAACGACGTGGTCTCGAAACTTTCACTTATCATCGCGATGTACATCGTGCCGATTATTTTCAAGGAACGCGTGGACTTATCACATCGTAAGCATTCAGAAATTTAATAATAAACACATTCACATTAATCGCATATATACGAATATATTAGCGATGACGAGGATTGGGCCAACTTTCGTACTGCCGTCAATCCGGTTTTAATGCAACCGAAGAATGCGAGACTCTACTTGAATACGATACTGGAAATTAATGATGAATTTCTTGAAAGGTAAAAATGAAAATTATGATTTTCTCATTGCACTCACTTCCTTCTCACCACACTACAGAATCCGTCACATACGCGATCCGCACACACTCGAAATGCCCGATGACTTTCACGATGATTTGAATCGTCTCACATTGGAAGGTGTTGTAGGCATAGCGCTCAATACGCGTCTCGGCATGATACATAAAAATCGCGATTCACCCGAATGCAAATTACTATTGAAATCAATACGCAATTTCTTTGATTATTCCGAAGCGCTTGAGATAAAGCCTTCGATTTGGAAAATAATCAAAACACCGACTTTCCATAAACTCATGAAATCGCTGGATACACTAACGGAAATTTGTAATAAATACATTGATGAAGCATTGAAACAAATCGAACAAGATAAAGATGGTAAACTCACCACAGAGGTGGGTAAGGAGAAAAGTGTTTTGGAGAAACTTCTACGCATTGATCCCAAAATCGCCGTTGTTATGGCGCTCGATATGATGATGGCCGGCGTTGATACCGTAAGTTGGTATACAATTTGAAATGCAGATAATAATAATAATTTTATTCGCAAACACAGACCAGTTCCACTTTAGCGGGCATACTCCTTTGCATTGCCAAAAACCCCGACAAGCAACAGAAACTTTTCGATGAACTCCAACGTATTCTACCACATAAGGATTCCAAATTGACCATAGAAAATATGCAAAATCTGCCTTATTTACGCGCTTGTATTAAGGAAGGTATGCGCTATTACCCCATTATAACTGGCACAATGCGTCGCCTACCCAATGACGTTGTCTTGAGTGGTTATCGTATACCAGCGGGTGTCGACATCTCCATTAGCTCTAATTTGATATTGCGTAATGAGAAATTTGTTGTTGAGCCAAACAAATATATACCCGAACGTTGGGTACGCAATGATCCGGAGGGTCGGAAATATCACATTGAGAATCCATTCCTTTTTCTGCCCTTCGGTTTCGGTCCACGCAGTTGTGTGGGTAAACGTATTGTGGATCTGGAATTGGAGGTCACCCTAGCGCGTTTAGTGCGTAATTTTGTGATTGAATTTAATTACTCCACGGAGAAGGCTTTCATACCGAAAATTGTATTCATACCCGGAATACCGCTGAATTTTAAATTCGAGGAAAGGAGGGAATGAAATTATAATTCCTATATACTATATATATATCTATTTGTTACTGAGCAGTATATACCAGCACGGATAAATTTGTAAAAAAAAGTGCCTATTCCAGTTTTAACAAAGAAGTGATGCCACCTATATACATAGATTATGCGATAACATCACAAACATAAATAATTTTAAAAAATAGTTTAAGAAACGAAGTGTATTATGGAGCAATAAATTAATTTGATAAAGAACTTGTATAATATGTAAAAATGTGTATGTGTCCATATATTAAACTAACCCACTTAAAATGAAGTTAATTTTATTTATTTGCTCTCACCTCTCTCCAAGGAACGTCAGGAGCTCGGAGTAAAATCGCTTCAGCGGTTATAAAACGCCAACTGTACGAGGCGATTAACAAAAAACGAACAAAAGAGTTCACCAGAAAAAAATCATTTTTGTTTTTATTGGTCTTTTTTATCTTCTCTACATAACCGCCATTGATTTCAAAGCTTGTCTTAACAGTCTTCAACATCTTACATTTTAGCCGATCCTTCGAAAATTAGAATGAAAGACTTCTGAAGTAATTGCAAAGGATTTGACATTTTTAAATCTCACAAAAAAAAATTCAAAGTCACCAACTGACCAAACGTTTGTTAGTCCACTCGTATGTATATATAACCCACCTATTTACTATTCCAATAATTGCAGGAATAGATTTATATGAATATATACATATTTACTTACCAAATAAGTGACTGTTACCGTTAATCTAATTACTACTTTTTAACTTAACTTTTAAAAATTTGCGTTTTAAATTTGAATTTTTTTAATATATTGGAAAATTCCCCATACTTAAGTCTCTTAAAAATAATATAATAATGAGTGTAACCAGCAGAAAATAAAAATGAAGTCCTATCCATGGTCTCGCCGAAGACCTTATACCTTTCATAACCAATATTTCAATATTTAGTTAAGGCTTATTTGAAAATGTCTGCCTGCGACGACTTAACAGCACGCTTCAATTTCAACGTTTAACATTATCTGTTAACGATTTAACATTACCGACAGCTTGCCGTTTCGGGTAAAAATTAAATGATATTTATTTTCATAACTTTTTTGGCGTTAATATTTCCAAATTAATTTTTCGATAAACGTAGAATTTATCATTACGATGGATTAATGATTAATTATTATTTCTCATATATGAAAAACTGATTTGAGGGGCTATATACATAGATATGTATTAATTTTTATATATGCAATAGATGCTTATTGACGGACATACGACCAAAAGTCTAATATCAGTATAAATTTTGATGCGTATATAATTTTTCCATCTATTACATACATACGCCGGACCCAAATTAAGATCCTAGTCTCCTTTAGAACCCGAAAAATAGGTTTTTCCAAAAATTTTTTTTGAAAGGGAAGGAAGTTATTGCGGTAAATGAAATTTGTAGACAATAATACACTATATTTAAGCTACAAAAAAAATTTAGTATAAAGCATAATGAAATTTTAGAGCGTTGTGGTAATTGTTTTAAAGCGGCTGCGTAAAACGTCGCCGGTGATGGAGATCACACAATGCATTTATGAGTGTTTCTTCTATATGAACTAAAAAAATTCCCAAGAAATAGGAAAATTCGAAACTTTTTCGAAGCTTGAAAAAAATATACATTTTTGAAAAAAAAGTTTTAAATAATACTTTTGTCCGAATTTTTAAGTTCAAGAAGATAGTTAAATACTGAAGCAAGATCACTTTAATTTTTGCCAATCGTATAAATACATTTTTTTTTTGTTATCACCGGCACTTGTAGAACTGAAAACTCGACAAAATGCGCTTCAAAGTTCTGTCCGGACATTTCGAGCTTACAGTGACTCACACGTCTAATCGGAGACGTACAATGCCAATGTTCAAACGATCGAAACAAAGAGTAAAATTATTAAACGTGGTGTGTATGACATATCGAATAAAAAGAAAACTATTTTACTTTATTTTAGGAAACTCAAAAATAATAATAAATAAAGATCTAATCCGTAATATACAAAATTTGTGCGACACAACTAAACGGATTTTTAGAAAACTAATGTCTATCAATATTTTGTAGCATATCCTTATGAAGATAAAACAGCTTTTTGGTGTAGAGGCAACAGTTTTTTGACAAAAATCCTGAGTTCGGTAACATTAGAATGCGTCCTTTGGTACACTTTTCGACCGACTTCTTGCCATACGTGCTCAGTAACTTTTAAGATCTGGAGATTGTGCGGGTGTATGCTATACATGGGAACAATTGTTTTGTGCTTCGGATCGTTGACTTGGTAAAATATAAAATTGTCTTTAATTCCCAATGTGACACATGACTGCTTAACATTTTCCTGAAAAAAAAATTTCAATATATTGGAAACGATCCATAACACCTTGCTGACGCGCTTCCCCAAATCATTACCGAGTATGTTTTGGAAAGTAAGCTTCGTTAGGACGCCATCATACAAAACTGCGAACTGCAAGTTAAACTTGCTTTCATCTGTGAAAATAACCTTGCTAAAGGAAAAGATTTACCCTCTGCGAAAACTCGCTAGATTTCTTTAAAAAAAAATTTAGCAAATTCTAGCCTTCTCTTGCTGTTTTTTTTGGATATAAATGGGCTTTTTACAACTGCTCTACCGTGTAAATCGAAGCTTCTGAGTGTGCGACGAATTATTTGAGCTGAAACTTTCTTCCCTTTTTCATTATCTAATATAATTTAATATTTTCCGCAGATGTAAAGGGATCTCTTCTTCGGTTTGTGTTAGCTTCCTTCCTTGACCAACTCTTCTAATATTTCTATATCCTATTTTCCTTTTCAAGCCTTTTTATAGCATTAAAGACAGTTGATGTACTCCTTTTTACAATTTCCGAAATCTCATTAAAGGTTTTTCCATCTTCCCGTAACCGTTTTGTGAGTCACGTGTTATTTCTCTAATTTTCGGGCTGTGAATTAATTTATTATTATTTTTAAGTTTTCAAAAATAATGTATACAAATTTTCCTCTAATTTGGTGTATCATATATACCACGTTTAATAATTTTACTCTTTGTTTCCATAGTGTGAACATTGGCACCGTACGCATCCGAATAGATGTGTGAGTCACTGTACGCGACGCCATGCCACTAAAACGACTCTAGTTTCTAAAATATGTCGACTGCATATTTAAGACCTATTTTTGGATAATTTGAATAACTTGAATAATTTGATAATTTGAATGGGTTTAAGAAATAAATGCATTTTCTGAAGGCTCTAAAGCAGACCACTGCTTTAATATGCCATTTCAAGTACAGGAAAGGTTTTTATAAATAATAATAATATTATTTTTTTACTGTAATTAATTATAAAATATAAAATCTTATGATTAAGACAAAGAAGAGCACTAGCTGTTGGGGCTTTCAGCTCTGATATAATAGTAATAAAACCACAGCTGCGGATGCAAAGCACAGATGTAATTTTTTTTTTCTTTTTTTTTTTAGCACAATATATGTACAGACATATATGCATATACGTATGTAATGTTGTAAATAAAAATCAGTGTATTAAAGCCGTACCTTAATTTTTGTTTATCACCAAATGACCTCTGCTTCATTTTTTTTTCTCTTACACCATATCACATTCACAGCTTCAGCTTTATTGCTTTTGAGCTCAGCAGAAATTTTCAAGCTCGATTGAGATATTTTGGACACTTCGCGTATATGGTGGCGTCTGCTTATATTGTAAAAATTGCTCAGTTCCTGCACTGTCTTCGCGTTGGTCGGTTCTGTGTTGAGTCTTTTGTAATTTACAAGTTAGTTTGCAATTTCTCGATTTATTTTTTAAGTCTTATTCCATTCAATATTAATTATTCTGTACGAAATGTTATCGCGTTACTTGTTGTGGTGCAGTTCTTTGAGACAAACATCGTTCAGGAGATATGCAACAGCTGTGCGAGAACAACAGGTTGTCAATAATGGACCGTTAAACAAATTAAAGTAACTTTCCATATGTCGATAACGTGAATGAGTTTCAGTGAGGTATTTCGGTCCCAAAAGGAAATTTTATAAATTTTTAAAAATAATTATTTGTGTGTAAGGAAAAGAGTTGTAAAACATTTACATTTCTTCTTCTAAAGGTGAAAAATTAAAATTGGTTTTTGGATTAGTGACAAATGCAACGTAATTTTAGCAAAAAAATTTACTTAGCTCGCAAAAATGGTGAATGTTTTGAGGTCATATTTAAGATTTCAAATTCTCTTCTTAATTGACATGGATCATTGGCGAGATTATGCCGAGATTAGAAAAAGCCAACGATAGCACGCTCGTCGTGCCTTCTTACGCACTTCGGCGCCAATGGGAGACATCAAGTGGAACCTTATCTCTTTTAAACGGAATCGACGTCTTCCTCTTCGTATTTTTCCCCTCCTACAATATTTTTCCAGCCTGAACTGTCTCAATTTCGTCGAGTAAATCGCAATATTCGTAGTTATTTCGTCTTAACCCATTCGTCGTGGTCAAAGAGCAAAGGACAATGTATCTTCCGCAAAAGTTTTCTCTCGAACGCCGTCATCCACGCTTCTGCACCATTTAGCAGGACGTGAATTATGAACGATTTAGAGAGTGTAGTTACTTTTTAGTTGTCTACTTATTCTAATTTAGCACCTGTTAGCAAAAGTGATTCTGCTCTGAAGTGTACACTGAACATTGGTCATCAGATAACCACTTTCCCTGCTTTGGTTTTGAAACATTACGAGCTCGAAATCAGTGCTCTTTTTCTCATAAAACTCTTTATACCCACGTCTTTCGACCTCAAATGCTTCGGGCTCCTTTTTTCTAATCTCGATTTCTGTTCCAACCCCTTGGTGGGAGGTTCCGGTATTGGAAGTCCTTTACCTGGCACTTACGATACGACAATCTCATCGTCTTAGCTTTTCTTTCGGCCGGCCTTATCGGATGCATATGATTTTGTTAGGCGATTAAAGGTAGAAATCTTGAAATATCTTCAACTCACTTTTTACTTTTGTGTTTTTTTATTTATAAAATTAATACAATATACTATTTGTTAATACTTTTTTATTTAATATTCAGTGCAAAGAAATCGTAAACGAAAATTTGGAAAATGCACGTCCATTTAAGGAACTGCCGGGACCTAGTAAATATGAGATTATACGGGGATCCATGCTGGGAGGTAAGAATCAAACGCAAAGCCGTTTTGACCTGTTTAAAGAGTCTTTGTAAACTTCCGTAGGCGAATACCACAACAAAACTTACGTTGAAACATTAAAACAACTCTCACAAAAGTATGGACTACTCTTTCGCTTTCCGGCACTTTTTGGCAAACCGGAAATGGTCATGGCACTCAATCCAGCAGACTATACAACAATATTTCGCAACGAAGGCGCATGGCCCGTACGTCGCATGCTTGAACCATTCATATATTATCGTCAAGTGTACAGAAAGGAAATATTTCAAGGCATCGGTGGTGTTATCGCAACGTAAGTGGAATTTTTATGCCTATCTTCCTTTGAGTATGAATCATTTAAGTATTTTTATACTAAATTTTCGGCAGTAATGGCGAGGATTGGGCGAAGTTACGCACAGCGGTCAATCCAGTCCTGATGCAACCAAAGAACGCAATTCTCTATCTGAACACGGTACTAGAAATAAATGATGAATTTCTTGAAAGGTAAAAATGAAAATATTAACTATTCGTTGCTTTCACTGCCTTCTCACCACACTACAGAATCCGTCACATACGCGATCCGCACACACTCGAAATGCCCGATGACTTCCACAATGATTTGAGTCGTCTCACATTGGAAGGTGTTGTTAGCATAGCACTCAATAAGCGACTCGGCATGATACATACAAATCGTGATTCACCCGAATGCAAATTAATTTTGAAATCCATACGCAATTTCTTTGATTATTCCGAAGCGCTTGAGATAAAGCCTTCGATTTGGAAAATAATCAAAACACCGACTTTCCATAAACTCATGAAATCGCTAGATACACTAACGGATGTTTGCAATAAATACATTGATGAAGCATTTAAAAAAATCGAAAAAGATAAGAATGGTAAACTCACCACAGAGGTGGGTAAGGAGAAAAGTGTTTTGGAGAAACTTCTGCGCATTGATCGCAAAATCGCTGTCGTTATGGCGCTCGATATGATGATGGCCGGCGTTGATACCGTAAGTTGGTATACAATTTGAAATGCAGATAATAATAATAATTTTATTCGCAAACACGCAGACCAGTTCCACTTTAGCGGGCATACTCCTTTGCATTGCCAAAAACCCCGACAAGCAACAGAAACTTTTCGATGAACTCCAACGTATTCTACCACATAAGGATTCTAAGTTGACCATAGAAAATATGCACATTCTGCCTTATTTACGCGCTTGCATTAAGGAAGGTATGCGCTATTACCCCGTCATCACCGGCACAATGCGTCGCCTACCGAATGACGTTGTCTTAAGTGGTTATCGTATACCAGCGGGTGTCGACCTTTGCATTAGCTCTAATTTGTTATTGCGGAATGAGAAATTTGTTGTTGAGCCAAACAAATATATACCCGAACGTTGGGTACGCAATGATCCGGAGGGTCGGAAATATCACATTGAGAATCCATTCCTTTGCCTGACATTCGGTTTTGGTCCACGGAGTTGTGTGGGTAAACGTATTGCGGATCTGGTATTGGAGGTCACCTTAGCGCGTTTAGTGCGTAATTTTGTGATTGAATTTAATTATTCCACCGAGAATGCTTTCATACCGAAACTTGTTTTCATTCCGGGAATACCGAGGAAAGGAAGAAGTGAGGATTAAAATTTGTAAAATTAAGATCATATCCATATGTCTGTTTCATATGTTTGTAATTGAGTTATAAAAAATGTGATAAATATTTGAATATTAATTTCCTAATCGTATTAAATTTTGGTGCAATAAAAATGTTAGCTCAATTGTGGAAGCGGAAGGAAAGTAAATGTTAAAATTCTTTCAAATATTGAATTCTTCCTCATGATTTTCGGTAACTCCCTCTTGAACTGTCTAATTTAAGTGACGTGGCATTTGGTCAATGGTTACCTACGCTACGAATGAATGAAGCTCAAGCATGGCATTCAGTAAGTTTTGTATTTAAAAAAAATATGAAATGCGTACACGTGTAGATTACTTGCACATCATTAATACCTTAAATATTAATTTAGCCCATAAACCAAATATCAAATTTACATCACTCAAGAGCTTCAGACCTTTTAATCTCGATGAAAAGCAGAAGCAGTTTCAGTGAATGATCAGCTTTTCGCTGACACAGTGCCAAAGTAATAATTGCAATAAATAACAGAATTAACGGTGTAGAAAAGTACTAGTTTTGTATGGAAATGAATTGATTAAAGTTATGCCTCTTCAGAAATCATACTTGAATATTTTGCGGACTTCGCGTGTGTGGACTCGTTGTTTTTCCGCTCAAAAACAAGTGGAAAATGTGAGTGTTTTCAGTGTTATATGAAAATAAGCATACATATTTGTTTATGGTTTCAGAACTTTAAAAGTTTTTGTTATTTAAAGGACAATTTAAAAGAAAATATCCCGTCCTATGGAAAGCCTTATCACGCTATACCAGGCCCACGAAAAAGTGAAATGTTCATTTCGTTTCTTCCAGGAGGTGAGCAGCAGCTATGAAAATATAAAAGATTCAATGGCAGTTAATAAATAAAATCATTTGGTATAAAGTAAAATTAGATTAAAATATTTTAAATTAAATTAAACTAACTTAAAGAAAATGACATAAACTGATCTAAAACAAAATCAAATAAAACAATCCGAAAAGAAAATATTAAATAAAAAACGATTAAAAAAAACCGAACTGAAATAAATGTAAAGAAAATAAAATCAAAAAATTATAAATTACAATAATTAAAAAACAAAATTGGATCAAATTAAATTAAACAGAACATTTAAACAAAAAATTTGAAGTTATTAACAAATAAATTTAATTGGACCAAATTAATTCAGCAAAACATAATAATGTCAAATAAAAAAAATAATATAAAATAAAAAATAATAATAATAAATTGCAGCTAAAAAATAAAATAATTTTTTATTTAATTTATTTCATGCTCATTTTATTTTATTGGGTGTTTTATTTTATTTAACTTTATTATTTTGTTTATTTTGATTGTTTTATTTGATTTTTTTTTCTTTAATTTAGTTTATTTAGTTCATTTAAATTCAAATTAATTTAATTTAATTTATTAAAGTAAAAATAAAACAATCAAAATAAACAAAATAATAAAGTTAAATAAAATAAAACACCAAATAGAATAAAATGAACATAAAATAAATTTAATAAAAAACAAAGCAATTAAAACATAAAACTTAAATTTAAAGTAAAATAAATGAAATGGAATAAAAAATAAAATAAAGTAATAAAAAATAAAACTAAATTAAATTAACTAAATAATCTAATTGAATTAAGCAAATATTAAAAAAAAATTAAATTTAAATTAAAGTAAAATAAATAATACTATAATGATTCAAATAACCAAGCTAAACTAAAAAACTGAAATAAATTAAAATAAACTATAGTAAAAATTTAAAAAATAAATAAAATAAAAAAATAAAAACCTAATAAAAAACCTTAAAAATAAAATGTTACAAATTAAAAACTAAAGAAAAGAAATTTATCTAAATTGTTAAATAATTTAAATAAATTAACTCAAATGAAATAAAATTCAACAAGATAAAACAAAATATAATGAACTAAATTAATGAAATTTAAATACGACTAATTTAAGTTATGCAATTAAATGAAATTAAACAAAATAAAATAACGTAAAATAAAATAATATAAAATAAAAAAAAAAAAACTTTAAAAAATTAAATTAAATCAATTCAAATAAAAATTGATTGGAATTAGCATAGCAACTGATGTTATTTTTATAAAATTAGTTAAAATCATTTAATATAAAATTAAAAAAAAAATCAAATGAAATCCAATAAAATCTATTGAAGTAAAATAAATAAAGTTAAATTAAGTAAAATAATTAAATTAAAATTTAATTAAACTAAATTAAATTAAGCCAAATAAAACGAAATCCATTGAAATAAACTAATGGAAATTAAATAAAAGTAATTTAAGTTATTTATTTACATTGAATTAAGCAAAATAAAATAACGTAAAATAAAAAAAAACATAAATACATAAATTAAATTAATACAAATAAAATAAAATATTTTAAATTGAATATAATTAACTTAAACAACTCATTTTATGTTTATAAAATTAATTAAAATAAAATATTTTAAAATAAAATCCAATAAAATTAAATTAAATAAAATTTAATTAATTAAAACAATTAAATTATATTAATTTAAACTACATTAAACTTCACCAAATAAATTAAAGTAAAATAAGATTAAACGAAATTAAAAAATAAGACAAAGAAATTGATAAGTTTAAATATTATATTCATATACTATATATTGGGTAGCCCAAAAAGTAATTGCGGATTTTTTAAAAGAAAGTAAATGCATTTTTAATAAAACTTAGAATGAACTTTAATCAAATATATAATTGCCATTTTGTTCGATAACCTTTTGCCATCTTCCTGGCAAATTTAGTATTCCACGCTCATAGAACTTCTGGCCTTTATCTGCAAAAAACTGAACCAAGTGCGATTTTATAGCCTCATCATTGCCGAAAGTTTTACCATTTAAGGAGTTCTGCAAAGATCGAAATAAATGGTAGTCTGATGGTGCAAGGTCAGGGCTATATGGTGGATGCATCAAAAGTTCCCAGCCAAGCTCACTCAGTTTTTGGCGAGTGACCAAAGATGTGTGCGGTCTAGCGTTGTCCTGGTGGAATATGACACCTTTACGATTGACCAATTCTGGTCGCTTCTCCTTGATGGCTGTATTCAATTTGTCCAATTGTTGACAGTAAACATCCGAATTAATCGTTTGGTTCCTTGGAAGCAGCTCAAAATATACGACACCCTTCCAATCCCACCAAACAGACAGCATAACCTTCTTTTGGTGGATATCAGCCTTTGAAGTGGTTTGAGCTGGTTCACCATGCTTGGACCATGATCGTTTTCGACTAACGTTGTTGTAAACAATCCATTTTTCATCTCCAGTTATGATTCGTTTTAAAAACGGATCGAATTCATTGCGTTTAAGGTGCATATCACAAGCGTTGATTCGGTGTGTTAAATGAATTTCTTTCAATACATGTGGTACCCAAATATCAAGCTTTTTCACCAGTCCAAGACTTTTTATGTGATAATGAACGGTTGATTTTGGTATATTTAACTTCTCTCCTATCTCACGCTCAGTTACATGACGATCCAATTCGATTAATGCTTTGATTTGGTCATCATCAACTTCATTTGGCCGACCTGAACGTGGCTCATCTTTAAGTGAAAAATCTCCAGAACGGAATTTGCGAAACCAATTTTGACACTGTCTTCCTTTTAAGGCTTCATCACGATACACATCTCGTTTTTTCTTTACGGAAATAATAAAGTAAAATATGACGAAAATGCTCCTTTGTGGGCTCCATATTAAAATTGACGACAAACAAACAAATGTAAACAAAATTTCGCGCACTTTTTTTCCAAAGCAAGCTAAAATTAACAGCTGATAACTGACAGAAAAAAGAATGCAATTACAGAGTAAACAAGCCGTTGAAAAAATTTGTCAACGCCACTGTATAAAAAATCCGCAATTACTTTTTGGGCAACCCAATATATACTATGCTATATATACTGTCAATAATATGTACTTTATATAAATATAAAAAATTAAACTTAACAAAAAATAATTAAAATAAAGTGTAAATTTTAAATTAAAGGAAAAACAAAAAAAATAATCAAATTTATTATATTAAAAAAATAAATTTTATGTAAAAATAATAAAAATAGAATTATATTTTATATATTTTTATATTATAATTAAATAAAAGTTAGACAAAATAAAATACAATGAAATTGCTAGTAAATATTTTTTATGCTGTGAGGATGTATCATCGGTAAAATTATGTAATAAATTCTTTCAATTTAGGCCGACTTCACAACAAATCTCTGCTCGAGGTTTACTCTCAATGGCGTCATGACTTCGGAGATATTTTTCGAATGCCTGCACTGTTTGGTAAACGAGATATCGTTATTACTTTCCAACCCAACGATTACCAAACCGTTTTTCGCACCGAAGGATCACAACCTATACGAAAAGGTCTCGATATTGTACAGTACTATCGAAAAGTACATCGACCGGAAATCTTTAAACATGCGGCTGGCTTAGTAGCAGAGTACAAATTGATATGAAAAATTGTTATTCTTTGTATTTGTTGTACATATATGAATATCTTTTCCACAGACAAGGTGATGGTTGGGCACATTTTCGCAGCACTGTAAATCCCGTAATGATGAATCCGAAAACTACAAAGCTATACGCGCCTAAAATGAGCAAAGTTGCCGATGCATTTCTAGAGCTAATCCAACAAAAACGTGATCCAAGCACAAACGAGATGTCTGATAATTTCGAGAGCTACGTCAATTACTGGGCAATGGACTCTGTGTGTTTGGTTGCTTTAGATACGGATTTGGGTATGATCAGGAATAGCGCAGCACAACCTCGAGCCAAAGCAATCATTGATGGCATGCGGGAGTTTTTCGAACTACTTTTGGAGCTAGATTTGAAGCCGTCGTTATGGAAATATGTAGCAACACCGGATTATCGACGTGTCATTCGAACGTTTGATGAGATAACGGATACCACAATTTATTACATAGACGAGGCTATAAAACGCGATGCAGTTAATGGGAGCAATGTGGAAGAAAGTGTATTACAGCGACTGTTTAATATCGATCGCACAGTAGCAATTGTAATGGCAATGGATTTAGTGATGGGTGGCCTAGATAACGTAAGTTAAGATNTTTTTTTTTTTTTTTTTTTTTTTTTTTTTTTTTTTGATTATGTTTTCAGTCTACCTCTGCTCTAACCTCCTGTTTACTCAGCCTGGCAAAGAATCCAGAAAAGCAGAGCTTGCTGCGCAAGGAAGTCCGCAATAATAATATTTCAGAGGGAAACATGCAGAGCTCAACCTACTTACGCGCATGCATTAAAGAGGCTTTTCGCATGTATCCCGTTTCCACTGGAAATTTCCGTACAACTGGTCAAAATGTAGTGCTGAGTGGCTATCATGTACCAAAAGGAGTGGATATCGCAATGCCTGGTCAACTTATACAATTCGATGAGAAATACTATGAACGTCCGAACGAGTATTTACCCGAACGCTGGCTACGTGACGGAAGCCATTTGGATTCCAATGGTTGTCCACTTAATAAGAATGTGCCTTTCGTTTACATACCATTTGGATTTGGCCCACGAATTTGTATTGGAAAACGTTTTTTAGCATTACAGTTAGAAATTACTTTGACGAAGTTAATACAAAATTTCGAAATCGCTTTTGACTATCCCACAGAGGGTATGTTCAAGACTAATATCATAAATGTTCCCGCAAAGCCGTTGCGTTTCAAATTCACCGATGTGAAGGAGTGACATAGGCGGACGGCGAGAGAGGGAGAGAGTCGTGGAGTTGGAAACTCATAGATTAAGTTTAATTGCGAATTAAATTAACATGCAAATATAATATATAGACATATATAATTGGAGCTTTGTAACCGTTGCAACGATTTTTGGTCGTAATAATGTTTTTTCAAGACATGGAGGATGGATTTATACTTCATTTCAGAAACATGAAGAGCTTGACAATCTCTGCAGCGGTGCGATCGCAATTAGAATAAGAAAGAAGAGTCAGCTTCGGCCAAGCCAAAGTTTTTATACAATACCTTTCATGATTATGTGAAGTGTATGGTATTTCATTTTAGTACCAAATGCTTTTACTCATATCTAAAAAAAAAATCGAAACTCTTACTTGTGTAGGAGTGAGAGGTGTAGAGAATACCAAATTTCGCACTTTTAGATAATTTTTTGAGCTATTTTTGACTCAAAACACATATGTGAGCAAATCGGTTGTATAGGGAATGTATGTTAAAGTGGTCCGATCTGCCCAGTATCGCTAAATTATTAATACATGATCAAACCATATCTGCTTGCGAGCTTTAATTTAAAATAGTTCAAAACTGAGTACCAATCTTGGTGAACCAACTCAGCCCGCCTTACTGCCGGGCCAATCTCCTCTTCTTTTGGTAATTACATACTTACAAAATTCCCATATTTCATGTATTGTACGTGAAGGGCATAAAAAATTATGTCTTATTATTTGAAATGTTGGTCGGATCGGAATTCGAACTCTGACCTTCCGCGTGGTAGCTCGCACGCGCTGCTAACTGTTCGACCACTACGTACGTCAAATATATTATTCAATAAAGCAAAGCCCACTTTTTAATGCTGTTTTTCTCAAGCACAAAGCAAACACAATTTACCAGATAAGGCACTCGCCCCACTGATGAGATCAACAGAAAAAAATACACAACAAAATAAATTAACACGTAAAAGTTCTGCCAGCTTTCACTAAATAAAGTACACGAGCACTCATTGGCAAACGTTTACTTGTTCCATTTTTGTTGTATTTGTGAACGCCACTGCCAGTTAAAGCTTATTATTTGCAAATTATTAAAACTCAAAAAGACTTAGGTTATCTGCTTAATGCCCAATTATATTTAAAAATTAATCAACTTATTTTTATCAATTATTATTATTAATTAAAAATTTCAGATCATATACCTCTATACATATATGTATTGTGAAGTAAATCCAGATTTTTTAAAAACACCTTTATTCTATTGCGAACAAATAAATTTATCACAAAAAAATTTAAAAAAATTTACTATAATGAATGAAATAGAATGAAACCAAGTAAAATAAATTTAAGAAAAAGAAAAAGAAAGAGAAGAAGGAAAAGAAAAAGAAAAAGAAAAAGAAAAAATATAGTAAAATAAAATAAAATTAAATTTAAAAAGAAAATTAAATCAAAGAATTTAAATTAAAAATAAATTAAATTAGACAAATTTATATAATAAAAAGTAAACTAAGTTCTTATAAAACAAAATTAAGTTAGATTAAATTAATAAAAATAATACAACATAAATAGAATGAAATAATTGAAAAAGGGAATAAAACAAAATTAAATTAAATTAAAAAAATAAAACAAAATAAAATTAAATATAAAAAAAAGGAATACAACATAAAAAGATAAGCAAAATTAAATTAAATAAAAAAATTAAACAAAATTAAAAAGAAAATGAAACAAAATAAAATAAGATAAAACAAAATTAAATTAAATAAATTATAATAAAATAACATTAAAGTAAATTTATAAAAGTTATGCAACATAAAAAGAATAACATATCAGGTGTACAACTTTCCGCCATTTTTCCCAAAATTAAAAGCTTTATTGCAAAAAAGTGCTTACAGACATATCATTCAAAGTATTGTCCTGCGCTAGCGACAACTTTCTCCCATCTTTCCGGCAATTTTCGGATCCCGGCTCGTAAAAGGGAGTCCTCTTTTGATGCTATCCATGAAGCAATCCATTTTTCCAATTCTTCGAAGGATTGAAAATGTTGATCTGGCAGGCCGTGTGCCATCGATAGGAATAGGTGGAAGTCAGAAGGGGCGACATCTAGGGAATACGGCGGGTGGGGCAAGAAATCCCATTTCAGCGTTTCCAGGTACTTTTTGACCACTTTTGCGACGTGAGGCCGAGTATTGTCGTGTTGGTGGATGACTTTGTCATGTCGCTCTTGATATTGTGGCCGCTTTTCTTTTAGCGCGCGACTAAGACGCATCAGTTGCGTTCGGTAGCGATCTCCTGCGATGGTCTCACCCGATTTTAAGAGCTCGAGCTTATCCCACCAAATACAAATCATAACCTTGGCGCCGTCAATATTCGTTGAAACCACTCCCGACACGTTCTTTTACTCAGAGCAGCATCACCGTAAGTTTCTGAGAGCATTCGATGCATTTCGAATAGTAACAGAAAAGTAAAACTTCCCGCAAATGGCGAGAATTAGGCACACAAACGGACATTTTCGAGCGTGAATAATACGAAAACAAGAACAACTGTCACTGAAACGGCTATGACAATTCGTTAGGCACTGTCCACACTCACTTTAAAGGCATTATCATCTATGTATTTCATCCAACCTCAGCCGCTACAGCCACCTATCGGAAAACGGCGGGTGCAAAGTTGGACACCTGATAAAATGAAAAAAGAATAAAGAAAAAAACATTAAAATTAAGTAAAGTAAAAAACTAAGTAAAATAAAATAAAAATAAATATAACAAAATGAAATTAAATAAAAGAAAATAAAATTAAATTAAAATTAACAAATATTCAATTCACACAAACCACAAGGCCTCGTAGTTTACTTAATGAAATTAATATATAACATGGCCGCAAAAACAAATTACAAAATTAAATAAAATTAAATAAATATATATTTAAAAAAATATCATAAAGTAAACAAAAATATATTGAAAAAAAAATAAAATAAATTAAGTTTATACAAATAAAACAACATAAATGGAATAAATAAAATAAAAAAGTAAATAAAACAACAAAAAATATAAAATGAAATAAAGTCAAAAATATATAAAGCAAATAATAGAAAAGATAAAATAAAACATACCACATCTAAAAATAATAGAATATTATATCAAATAAAATACGTAAGAGAATTGTACATTGCATCTCAAAATTGTAAACCACGTCGGCTTTCACCGCTTATTTATTCAGCTTTGCAAAGAATCTAGTAAAGCCAAGTTTGTTATGTAAGTAAAAATAGCGGCCCACCGAAAACGGCGTTCCAATTGACCACAATGAGGGCAACTGATGGGCGATGAGTTTACTTGCGGCGACTGCTTCATACATTGCGATGCTTTTATGCTGGATCATATAAGTATTCCGCATAACACCAGAGTAATCCTTGAAGTGCATACATGAAACTTGACTTGAAACTAATCCAAAAATTACTCCATGGAGTGCCTACAATGGGTTATGGTATGGAGTAAAAATTAAAAATGACATTCGGACATAATTTTTAGTTTCGAATAGTACGAATTCTCTTCGGTCAAAACATACATACATTAAAATAATATTTTGATTGTCAATAAACATATGAATGTGTGTCATATTTAAATTTATACATTTGTTTTATTTCCTGACTCAAGTACACTAGTAAAAACCTTATTGCGCGCATGCAGCTTCGTTTAGTAGTTGTGATCGTTAAAACACGAGCAATCATCGGCTAACAACAGGGTGATAGCGAGTCATAAGTTGATCCAATAATTCATTACGGAGAATGGCTTTTGGATTAATCCAATGTCGTATGGTACCCAAACCATTTTGCAAGAGAGCGATGAAATTATTTGATCGTCTCTAAGGGTTATACGGCATTTTACAGAATGTTACCCGGAAAGGGTAGCGCCATCTCTGACGCGCTAGTATAATGGAAGCTATACGATTATATCCATTGCCCCTTAGTATTTTACGCCTAATAGCTAAAGTGCTGGTTGGCTGCCAAGTGCCGAGGGGTGCGGATAAGTGTTCTACTCGAGTCGAGTTCAAATGAATATCAGGGCTGCCAAGCCCAGCTTTGTTAAATTTTGCTAACAATTTTTGGTAAACAGTTATATTTTTGGCAAAAAGTTAGCAACACGGAAACTCTGTATCAATAAGGTCAAAAGCAAATCAGTGCATTTCAAACCAAACCACTGGAAAAGTGTTTATGCTTGCAAGCTTAATCGATCCGAGTAGAATAAATCTGACTAGAAATGAAGCATAAACGTAGTTTTAATCTAATGAAATTGATTAGAAATCTTTAAATCAAATTTAACTATGTTTGCTTTCAATCTATTATATCTTATCAAAATAAAAAATATAAATATATACACGTTTAACGGTAACTTTAAGACCTATATTGTAAATGTGCCAGCCAAATTCTAACTGAAAAAATTTACTGATTTAATGGCGTAAGATTAATATATATATTTCCATTCTTTACAATTTTACAGTTTTCGTTCAAAAAATTCAAGAACAAATAGTGGAATGCAAGCAGATGTATTTTCTTACACTTCACGTTTCATACCGAATCATTTAAAGGGAATAATACTAATATACGTTTAATACGTTCATAACTTTTTATTTGGCTTTTTTCAACGATTTCTACGGCTCTTTATTGATTGGATCGGCATATGCGAACCTTAAACCACTCGTAAAGTCTTGCTCAACTCATAGGAGACTCATCACAAAGCATTTTTCACATTTCGAACACTTCAAATGCTTCATTTCATTTTAATTCCATTTTTTACGCAGAGTTTGGTACAAATTCTACGATCCGTCTCTTTTTTTTTTAAATATAAATCACACAGCTCATTAAAATACTGCTAATCTTAGTCAATGTAACAGACGAGAGCCAACAAAGAAAACCAATAAATAATTGTTTTTTATAAATTTCAAAAATAATGTTATCGTTTTTAACACCAACGGCGTATTATTTGATTTCCAGAATGAAGTAATTTTCATTTTCCATATCCACTGCCTTGTCGAAACTTAATTGAAATGCATACACAACTCAGCAAAACGCTCACAATCTTTAATATCCTTAACGCGCTT